TAATAAATTTAAAAAAAAATTTTTTTGACAATTAAATTATTTTATTAATATTTGTTCGTTAATACAATCAATATAATATAACAAAAACGTTATTATAGCACTATAACTAAGCCATTTATGAGTAATGAGTGGTGCGGTAGAGGTCTGAGGTACCTACGCCAGTAGCGCTTTTCTGCCGCTTATATACATTTTCTACGGAACTACTTCAAATATTTTAAAAAGAGAAATGTATTTTCCAGATGTTTTATTTCAGCACGTTTTGCATTATTGTTGACCATTTAATTACAAACGACGCTTGATTTTCAACTTGAAAATTTTTTTGTAAAAAAAATTTACTTTACCGATTTTGTTTAATGCCTAAGCCAATTAGTTTTTAATATTTTTTCATGTTTTATTATTCTGTGACTATCCAGCTTTAATAAAAGACCAACTATAATGAAATTAAGCCTAATGCTGATTCTCAGTAACAAAAAAACTAACTAAAGTCAAAGTCGTCAATCCGCCATGTTTGGACGCCATTTTGGGACAGTTCGTTCACTTTTTTTTGTGGGAACATTGGCTTTTTTTTAATAAATTGTCACAAGGAACACAACGATATGCAATTTATAGGGATGTGGGGTGGGGGGGGGGGAGGGTGCACGATAAGGGGTCTGGCCCACCGTGTATACGTTTCACAGCCCCCTGAGTCCGAAAAACACATTTTTAGCCATTGGTCTGTCTGTCTGTGCCAAAATTTTCTCGGGAACTACTGAACCGATTTCGTTGCTTCTTTTTTTATTTTGTAGGGTTTTGACTACCGATGCCTGTGACAGAAATTCGGTGCTCCAAGCGCAATAGCTTGCGCGCAATAAATTAAAAACACTATTTTCTATAGACTGTAGCGCAAAAATGGCTCTAACGATTTTGATTAAACTTTCCTATAATGTTCTAATTATTGTCCTTTCAATTTCTGTATATGGACTAAATTCCCGAAAAAATTCAGAAAAAAAAGTTATAAAGAAAAGAAAAATTTGAAGGGGCCTAACTCGGTAAGTATATATTATACGGTAAAATTTGTAATAAAACTTTTGAAAGGTAATTAAATTACCAACGAAACAAAAAAAAATTACTGGAATCGAACCAGTATTAGCTATGATACAGCCTATTCTATTTTTTGCACATTTTTTTAACTTATTACTTTCCTACCTATACTAGGTAAGGAAAGTATTGCAATCGGGTCAAATATCCGACATCATATTTTCGACGGATCTATACGTTTCACAGCCCCCTGAGTCCGATAAACACGCCGTTTAGCATATCGTTTGAAAGGTAATAAAATTCCCTACAAAGCCATATAAATTGTTCATTTTGGACAATTATTAGGGAAGTTACAGCTATTCAATTTCCAATGAAAGATTACGAGTTTACTGTAGCCGCATCACACAATCTTCACTATTTCCTCTACTTTTAACAGAAATTATTGTTTGACAATACTAAGCTATAGCAAAAAGTTTTTGATCAATAATATTAGTGAGTATCGAAATTTTTACACTGATCTACCTAAAGCCGGTTTCATTGCCTTATCTAATAAATTGTACTTAAATCTTTTGTTTGATCAATTTTCAGAAAAATAAATGTAGTTCAATTCTTTTTTGTTTCTACATGAACATATGTAAAGATATAAAACCTTTTCTGAAATAGGTAGGAAAGTCGTGTGAGTGGACACCCAGATTTTTTATCTGAAAAATTACTTTAGGCAAATTACCAGGTTGCCAAAAATACCTTAAAATCGTTCGTGCTTCAGATAATATGCGTCCTGCCATCCCTAATATTTCGGTCAAAGGATTTACTTTAAAAGAGCTTAAGCAAACATATTCATCAATGAATGCATTTTCACGAAGTTGATCCGTTTCTTGTGCTGTCGATATTTTTTTTTACGTAGTATATGTTACACGTTGCTAATCAAAAGTACTCATTTTATCTTTTGAAATCGCCATTTACAACAAAAAATAAATAAATAAAAATGACCTATGTGATATATATCATTTTAACTGTCGTGGGTTCTTTTAATATTTTGAAACTCTCGTAAAAAGCATTATAATAATATTAAAAATGATGTAATTATTTTTAGTTATAATCTTTATGGAATATTTTTTAGTAAAAAGCAGAACCGGTACCAGGACTTCAGCCACATCGTGGCAAGCTTAATTTTGTATTTTGTCACCCTTTCTTTTACACTTCCCTCTCCTATATGAGTCAACAGTTGAATAACAGATATTTTGGTAATACGTTTCTAAATAAATATCATATTATCAACTATTTCTACAGAATATATGTCAAAACGATAAAAAAACAATAAAATATTTTCATTAAATTAAAATTAAATTTCCCTGTAGAATTAGCCACCTCCTATAGAAATAGGAAGAAGTTCTGTTCAATTTGATAAATGATATTTTTAATGTAATGATATATACATTAATGGGCATAAGGGAATGAAGGGTACTTTTATTTAACAAGATAGACATTCCATAATCATACACATAATGATTGAAATACCCTAATTATGTCGTGGACGGATACACTCGCCTGTCACTGCTCGAGGACGGGCACTGTTTGGATAGAGTGGTGGACTCATCGAATTCTCGGATCCAGGTTGTGTCAGCTACCTGGTTCAGGAACTACCGCTTCTGAAAAACAAGTCCGCCGGCAGTCATCTAGTCGTCTGACCTCTTTCGACGAACTATTGCGATTAATGTTCATGATATAAAGGTTTACCACACAAAGAATCATAGGCGTAGTAGCGTCAGAAAATACAGGAATACTCGCAACTTAACATTAAGTCATCAATCCATCATCGTTGGTGGAGAAGGTTCCAGTACTTTCGGCTAAAAAGACTAATATTAATATGAGATAAGTAGATGGAATAAATATGCAGAAGTCTTTAAATTACTGTAAGAAAAAAATAACAGTTAGTTAATTATTATAAACCCCTTAGAATTGCAGACAGCGCAACCACTCAAGCAAGGGTGCAAACCCTCCATTATGGTTCTCCACTTTCAGCTTACCAACCTGCCTCCAAATGGGTCTAATTAGTCCCAAGTTCCCATTTCCATGCAACCATTCGATTTCATCAATACTACTTAGTGTTTTACGTGAGTAGTAAAGTTAGGGAAACATCTTTTCTATTAAATAAATTATTTAATTACCATTACCTTTAGGCTTCCATAACATCCTCAGATGATATAGTGGTTTTATAAGGGTTGAAAACTACTTTAATACTAATATAAGCCATGTTAACTTCTAAATTAAATAGTACTGAAACCAAGACCTTTCTTGGGTTGTTGCTACACAGGTTTTTTTTTTATTATTATTAGGGATAGCTTCCCTTAAAACCACTCATCATTTGAAGTTGGTCTAACAGCAGAAGCATGATGAGAATATACTTTTGAGAGGTGAAGCATTTTTTAGTTCCACAAATTCCTAATAAATTATGTACTTTTAACTTAGTGCATAAATATACTACTGATACTTTGACGAAAATAATTATTTGGCACTTGGAGCTGTCAATTTAGTTGGTATGTTCAGTGAATGCAGAACCATAGAAAGAAATCAAGAGCCCCAGGAATAATTTCCCATCCAATTGTAGCCTCTTATCAAGTATGAACAAATATATTATGTAGAGATATTACATAATGTATGTAATGTTATTTATACTTTATTTTATTGTACATTAAGAAGTTGAAAAACAAAATCTTGTAGTCCAGCCCCTGGGACTGAGAACCCAACCTCCTCGGTGCTAAGTGAATGATGTTCCAAAAGGGCAAGTCACTCCCTTTATTATAAATTATAGGGGGAAAAACCTTATACTTTACATCAGAACATAGAGTATTTGTGCAACAATAACTCATTTAGGATTTGATCTTGAGGGACTTCAGCCAGAAAGCCTCTTTTTTTATTAAATATAATTATTACTTTGGAAAAAAAGAAAAAACCAACTACCTATACAAAATGGTGTTTAAGTGATTCTTGGAGTCTTATTAAATGTTCTTACATGAACAGTAGTACTTTTAATATAGATAATATTTAGTAGAGATAATTTTTTAATATATTTTTCATAAGACATGGTAATATTTTACCATTTTGGGGAGCTTCAGCAAGAAAGTTCCCCTTTACCCCATAGATCAACCTGTGTAACTCACCACCACTTAGTGCTAAAAAAGTCATGTCTTCTCCTTTAAATATATTTGGTTCTGGTTTCAGATGGATGTAAATGTTAAGGTATTCTAATTTAAGAAACTGTTTCTTTCTTTCAATTTCATTTCTTTCTTAATAATTTAAGCAGAGCTGGTCCATCAATATCCAAGACTATATATAATAAAATATAAGTCTATATAATAAAACTGTTAAAAAAAAAAAAATGATAAATCTATTTTAGTTATTTGCTTAGAACATAGCGTCACCTAAATATGTAAATAGCAAAATGTAATTTATTATGATCACTGAAATACCATAAGGGATAAATTCACAATGAAGCCTCATTGTCAAAATAAGTTTTTAAAATTTATTCCAAACAAACTAGGCACTGCTGAATCTATTTCACAAATTTTCTACTTTGTTTTACCCTTTACAGTACTTAAGTTGTAACTTTTGGGTACCCAATGGCCCAACAATGTGCTTTTTGTGGACCCAGTTTTAGGTCAGTAAGTTTTATTTGATTTTTTTTTCCTGTAGGAATTACATACTTCATAGTTCTTGGACTAGCCTTCTCCACCTTTTCTTATTTTGGACAACTGCTTTCCAGTTTCATGCATGTTGTTTTGCAACATCTTTGTTCATAAGAAAATCTCAACTTACATTACCAAATACATATCCAGCATTAGTTGCTTCCTCTTACATTATATATATAGATTTGAAAAAAATTTAATATTTACCACAATAGAATAACATTAAAGTAACCTGAAATTATATTTCTAGCCTCCTGAAGAACAATCGAGTATACTTTAATTACAAGGTTAGCCCTAACCATTATAAACATAAGTTAGATAAGTTAATTTGGGAAAAATAAATTAATATTCTAATAAAAGTTAATTTATTATTTGTATCAGATAAATTATATTATCATTAATTAGAGGAAGAGCTTAATAATCATTCATCAACAGGAACAGCTTTGGCATGATGGTTCCGCAGCAGATGATCTGAAAATTCTGCGTACGGTGCCCTAGATAATGGCACATCACGCCAGAGATCTGGCGTCAGATAACCATATGTTTTTGATATGGCTTCAAACGTAGCTTTTGCTAGAAACAAAAAAAAAAAAAATTAATATACTATCCTTTTGGATTTTTCCTGTATTTTCAGTGCAAACTTGATTTGCAAATAATTTTAATATTCTATAATATTTATCCCATAAATCAACAATGCAATGATTAACAAATTCTTTAAAACTTATAAAGTTATATATAATGTTCTTTACATAGTAAGAAGACAATGAATAAAAGAAAAATAACAATGAAGTCTTACATATTCTTTTACCGAAAAATAGTTTTACAATAAATTTCTGACAACTGAGCTCAGACCCTTTTAACCATCCTAGGAAATCAACTCCTCTGTGGAAACCGCAAAAGTTTGAACAAAATTATCATCATAGTTCAGACGATGATTAAAATAATTTGAAAAAGTAAAGAATTCACAATCTCAATATAATAAAAGTCAACTTCTCACCAGCTACCAGAAGTCCAGGACTGATATAAAAAGTATCATGCAACTTCTCATAAAAGGGAATTTTAAAAATAAAAGTTAAATTGAATGATAGAAACAGTCTTTAGATAAAAGATGCTTGAGGATCTCTTTTAACAAATAATTCAATAATAATTTGTGAAAAAGGTTGAGTTCAGATGCTTCTAAACCATCCTGAGAAAAAAAAATCATATAGTAGAAACCACAAAAGTTAAAATTTAACTCTCATTACTGTTCAAAAAATCTGAAACCTATTTGTACACAAAAGAAAAATGAATATAATATAAAAAGCTTATCTGCAGTTTAACGATTATAGAATTTTTTTTTTACTTTAAGTAATTTCTATTCTTTTGACCATGAGGAAAATTTATTCATAATATATAATTTTACTTATGTAATATTTTAAATAACAGAATGCATGTAAGTTGTGATCCTTCTACTATTATGAATCCATGGTTGTTGCTCTTTAGATCGAAATGGCAGATTTGATTTTGATGAAACATTTTTCTGTTGTTCCATTAGGTTTTACAACATTCTTAACCTTTTTGCTGGCAATCATCAGGGTGAATTTAAAAATATACCACAGATACAAGCTTTGACACTCGTATGAATGTTATAAGCTTAACTTTGTAGGATTAATTACTTATCGTTGAGTGTTACGGTCTTACAAGGCCTTCTCTTAGCCAGTCATCCCTATATTTTGCTCATGTCCTCCATCTCCTTAGTCCAAGGAACTTGAGGTCTTCCTCGACGCTATCCAATAATCTCACTCTTGGTCTTCTTCTATATTGTTCCCTCCGGTTTTTCCATACAACAGGCGTTTTGATATCCTAGTTTCTAACATCTGAGATATTTGAGGTGGGTTTTTTCACAAATGATACCAGGGCTGGTCTCCCATACATTGCATGAAACACAATTCTTCCTTGATTTCCAGATTGGCCTATGTATCCTGCAGAGTATTTTCCGTTCACAGACATTGAGTATCTCAGACTTCGTAGGATTATAATCGAGTAATTTCACTTTACTTTTCATGGAGTTTATACTACCGAAAATAAGGATATAAAATAAATCAAAATCAAGCAGTGAACTGTACTTACCAAAGTTTCCAAGAGTGCCAGTTGATCCTGTGGCAGATGTATAACAATCTTCAATACCTGCCATCTGCAGAAGCTTCTTGGGTACAGGGGCACCTACAATGCCAGTTCCTCTGGGTGCTGGAATAAGACGCACTTGCACACTACCACACTTTCCTGTAACCTGGACAAAGAATACTTAAGTTGCAAACAATTCAAGTTTAACTAATACAAAATATGATTCTTTTGATTTATAAAGGCTTTCCAGATATACTTTAACCACTTTTCTTTATATATTTCATACAATAATTAGGTAGTGGATTGATTTTTCATCACTAAAGAATTGAAAAATCTAATGCTATAATGATATAAAATTTATAAGTACATTATTTAAAATCTCCTTCAGTGAATGATCGGAACAAAAAACATAATTTTATCCAGAGATTAAGTGTAAAGCAACAGTAAATGAACTTCTGATTGAATTTATTTAAGTTTCAAAATACAAATTACATTTTGATATAATTGTAAGGTTTATACAGATTAAATAGCCAATTGAATAATTTACCTTGCAAGGTACAGTGTGGGGCTTTCCGATCTTGTTACCCCAATAACCACGCCTGACTGGAACGACAGAGAGCTTAGCAAGGATAATAGCACCACGGATAGCAGTAGCCACTTCTTTGGAACATTTCACGCCCAAACCAATGTGTCCATTGTGGTCTCCAATAGCTGTCACAATAACAAAAATCAAAAAACAATATTGAATTAACTAAAACCTAAAATGACAATAAAATAATACTAACCAACAAAGGCCTTAAATCTTGTTCTCTGCCCGGCTCTAGTCTGTTTTTGAACTGGCATGATCTTCAGAACTTCATCTTTCAATACAGGACCAATAAAAAAATCAATAATTTCAAATTCCTAAAACATTTATCTTAAATTAATTCATTAGAAAAATACAAATAATAAGATAGATAATTATCCAGTAAATTGATAGTTCTTGGGGGTGGATATCACAACTAGGTAACTGCAATTCAGCTTTGTCGATAAAAACCCAATTTAACGTTTTTTCATGATTTTGGAAGAATGTGAGACTTGAGTTTTCATTGTATTTTTGCAATCATTTCTAAATTTTATATAATTAGAAGTTTCTATAGTTCTAAAATGGAATTTTGTCCTGGTGATCAATTCACCTATTTTGGAAAATTTGAAGTAGTATCTATAAATCGCCAGCAATAGTAACTTGATTATTGCCCTTTTTTTAATCGAACCTTTCTCTACAATTTCTCCTCTTTTGCAAAATTTGTAGTTACCTAGCATTCACCGCAAGAATTGATTCTAACCTTGATGGGTAAAGAGAATAGATATATATCTTCCAGGGTTCTTATTTTTCCATCCTTGACCAGACGACCTAACTTTGTAACTGGCTGCCATTCCTTCTCTCCTTCCTTACCACGTCCTCTGCCTCTGCCACGCCCACGTCCTCTTCCTCGTGGTCCACCACGTCCACTGCCACGACTTCCGAAACCTCCTCTAAAGCCTCCTCGGCCACCGGCTGGAGCTACATCCGCCATATTTCTGAAAAATAATAACTGTTTACAAACCAGGAACACAACACAAATACAGTCAAACTTTTTTATAATTTGCAATAACTTTATTTAAAATTTTTTAGGTGGTTACACTCTTGCCTAGGTATTTAATATTTAAGTATAATTTTTGTCTCAATATTTTTCTGAGAATTTAAACAAGATCAGATGAACAATAACCCTGCCTTGTAGGGCAATAAGCAATAAAGTAAAAGTGTTTTAGATGCTTGCAAAAATTTAATGACTGCTGAACTCTTAAAATTATTTGCTGATGGCTTTAAATGACTGCTGAATTATTTGCTTAAAAATAAAAGTTTTAGATTAAAATTAAAACAAAAAAAATAGAAGCTTGAATATAACTGTACTGCCTTATTCTATTATCGTTGCACCTTAATATATGTTTTATTCCAGAATCCTATTTTGGCATCACAGATATTTATTGTTTAGATATAATTCTAATATAACTAGCAGCTTTAACAAATATTTTATATAGATTTATTTTTGTTGAAGTTGTTTCAATTAAAATTTTTTGACTAGAACTGGTTAGAATTGAGAGCTCATAAATAAAAAATATAGAACTACATTTGAATCCGCAAAAGTTGCATAACATGAGTAGAAAAAGGCCTTTCTTTTAATCTGAGTTCTCAATTGAAACCATTTATTACTTTGAGGGGAGCATGGTTGCTTAGTGAGCAAGGTGCTATGTTCCTATCTCCTGACCCTAGGTTCAAGTCCAGTTGTGAGAGATAATTATCAATTCTATAAAAATAGAGGATATTAGGATTGAGGATGGAGTCAGGCGACTATCCTGAGCAACACCCAGCCTCTATAAAGTGGGAGCTCATAACCTTGTGAAAAGGCCTGATTTTGGCCATGCTGTTTGCACAACTCTTTGCCTAGAATTAGTATTTACCTAAAAAGTACTGAATCCAAGATCCATTATGGATTGTACTTGCATAGTTTTGATTATTTAACTAGCTACTGGGTAAAATCAATGTGAAGGCAACAATAAAAAACAAAACACCTTTTGCTAGAAACATGGCATTAAAAACTGAGCAGAAATCAAATCAACATTCAGAATTTTTCATGGATCATTACATAGTCATCAATATTTTTTTCTGATAAATATTCATGATCCAAGTAGGACTAAACATCAGATATATAAATATTTAATGAGAATAACAAATTCATGTACATAAAAAACTTGAATATACGATAAAAAAAAAGCTGAGAAGAATGCATGTTTAAAAAACACAACAAGAATTGAAGGACATTACTTTTTCCAGTAAGTGTAAAGAAAATATCTTAACATGGCAACTACTTAAAAAATATGCGGCCATTATACCAGGACATCCCATAACATCTAACATTTTCCTCTAAATCCAAACAAAGGCTTGGCGGAAATTACATACTTGATTGGCGGTTTGTTGGTTTATAATAAAAAAAATATGAAACAGCAAATGTTCGTTGCACGCAGAGTGAAGCCGCTGTTCCAGAAATTTGTGCTTTTGTCATCTCACCACAATGGCTGCGAATGGCGTGTGGAAAGATTTGCTTACCCACACAAAAGTTATGTCCACAATGGAAGAGAAATTAATTATAATATTACAGGACAAAATTGTATTCAATATAATTATTCTAATGTCAATTATAATTTTAGATAGATTTAATGAATAATCTATATTGATTATTCAAGACAGTGTATTCTCTAATTATGAAATCTAAACGTGTTCAATTCAATTAATAGCCTATATTTCACATTCAAAAATCGTCGAATATATGCACAAAAGGAATTTAGCGATGTGGTACGAATATTTGAAATAATTCATCAAAAATTGAACATGACTCCTAAATTTAATGAACACGTGGTCCTGAGTTGTGAATATTGTCTCCGCATTTACCAGCTATTGTAATAAAATAAACAGTCTTTAATTGCAAAAAAAAAATACATATATTTAGACAACTCGCTCAAATCTAACATGCCTACATATTAATTTTAAAAATAAAAATAATAACAATAATAGTAACGATCCTTACCTCAACCAGGTCCTAGCTAGTCTGAAAGGGCCCAAGTTATAAGGGTAGGTCTAGCTTAGGTAGGTACAAATTTGGAAATCGGAAACAGCCGAGAGCCCCCGATCTTGCCCGATCGTTGCAATACCTAATCTGCCGAAATAAGAAATAATAACTTTCTATTTCTTTTTTTGTTATTATTTATTCGTTTATTTTTAAATGTAAGATACCCTAAAATATTGTATTTTTTTTCGAACCAGTAACTAATGGCATGTATCGGCTATCCAAAAATGTGGCTATACAGTACTTCGAATCAAGTATCTGAGTACTGAAGTAATCGTTTCATTTATATGAAGTATAAATTAAATGTATGTATATAAAAAAATGTACAATTATTTTCCAGGCTGTGGCGTATCTTGGGGGTTGGTGGAAGGGGAGCACGGCCCGGGGTCGGCTTACTTCAAAGGCCCCTCGACTTAGATTTTTAAAGTATCTTTATTGCAAAACAATTATATACGTTTTGTTATCAGAAGGGGATTTTATTATTTTTTTATTTTGATTATTATATATTGTTTTAATAGTCAGGTTTGCAAACGAAGCCAGGACGATTTCAAATATACAGCTGTGTGTTCATGCAGGCATTTAAAAAAAAAAAAAAGAGAAAGAAAGAAAAAAAAATCAGAACAAAAATTTGTCTTCCGTTTAACGCTACAGACATCGCGGAACAAATTTGATTTCATGTCCTACCACTTAACGAACTAAAAAGATTTTGCCTCGAATGGGGAGGAACATTTTCGTTAATTTTTTCAAGTAGAGGGTGTCCTTTTTTCGTAATTAGTTTCTTTCAAGATGTTGAAATACTAAAAAACATAAAAGTCGATATCAAACATAAAAATTATTTTTTATATCTGTTGATATTTTATTTTTAATATTTTATATGTTTTTAGAAGGGGAGAGCTGTCCCACCTAGTCTTTCTCATCTCCCCTTGCCTGAGTTTTGTTATTTTTTAAATTGGCAATTTAGCACGGAGATCTCAGAGACTGCAAGATAGTCTAAAAACGAAAATCTTCAATATCAGGGGCTGATCTACGGGAGGGGACGGGAGCTTTCAGGCTGAAGCTCCTCCACCCTCCCCCTCACCCCTCTCCCCCCAAATTGTAAAACATTACCATATCTTATGGAAAAAATATTAAAAAATTATGTCTAAAAGTGTTATTATTCATGTAATTACATTTAATTGGACTTCATGAATCACTTAAACACCATTTCTTATAGGTTGTTAGTTTCTTTCTATTTTTTCCGAAGTAATTAGCATTATATAAATTAAAAATATATGTTTTGGGCTGAAGCCTCCCCCACCAAAAATTAAATCCTGGTTCCGCTACTGGTCAATATTGTTGCAAATTTTCAGTTTAACTTTTTATAGAATGTCTTTATCACTAGGAGCATGGTTTCCATGATACAACCAGCAAATAAAAAAAAGTGACATTTTGGTTACCCTCTCCCTCCCCCACATTTGGCTCACTACCTAGGAGTGGGGACTCTAAATTTGTCCCAAAATGTCTTGAACCTCATAAATAGGATTACTTTCATTTTCCTCTATAATCGTTCATTGAATGGACTAATAGTTGAACAAATCAACTATAAAAGAGATATGTTTTTTTATGAAAAAGTATTGATAATATTATTATGGTACTAGTGCAGATTTCACAGTAAATTCATTTTAATAATGGCATGTTCAATTTAATCCACAAATGGATGAAATCCCAGATCTAGTGTAAAATGGTTCAATAATTTTTTTATTCTTAATATTTTTATTTAAAATAATTAAATAACATTCTCTAATATTCTTCTGTTTTTTTTTTTTTTACAATGGTAATATCTTTGTATAATACAATAAACTTTTCCCCAAGGGAATTAAAGCCTTCTAAATTTATTTAATTTATTTTATCGTAATAACTTTTCGAGCCTGTTGGCTCATTTTCTAGTTTTTCTTTTTTTTTTTCTGTCTGCATATTTCCAAAAACTGACTGTTAGTTTATCCTTAATGAAACTAAATATACTTATACTTAAACTACTTATCCTTAATGAATTCCTGTTGCCGTTCTAACCAATAGAGAATATAATAAGGTGTAATGTTCAAATTAAAATGTCAGAGTTTATTATCAATCCAAATTTTATTTTAAAACAAATATCTATATGTTTTTATGAAAAAATTAATATTAATATTGAAAAGCAAAAATTATAAGAACATGATGTTTGGAAATATAAATAAAGGAAAAAAAAGAAAAGATAAATAAGGAAAAAAACCAAAGATGAATAAGAAAACAAACCAACTGGATTGAAATGTTGTTCAAGATAAAACAACATGATAAAAAAGTTTTTAGTATAATCAAATTCTTCTTCTAAGATGAAAGAGTATTTACAGCTCTGCATGTCTGATGTACGCAGCAAAATTACTATCCCATAACAACCGTTTTATAGTGTAATTGTTATTAATCGTTTTAATTATGTAGTTATATTCTCAAAACTTACTAAAGAAAAAAAATTAATAAAATATTTCCTTTACTGCACTGTGACTAGAAGTTACTGTAAAAGTGACAGGGCAGAGTGAAGTAAAGTGGTATGCCGCAATATGGGAAACCCTAGGTCCTGGCAGAGGAAGGTTGTCATCTTTGAGAAAAGGAAACTTCTTGTGCCAAACCATTAACAGAACCAGGTTTGCTCCTCAGCGTGAGAAATCAGTATTATACAGTTTGGCTACCTCCCATCATACAAAATAACATTTTTAGTATCGAATAATATGTTTTTAATTTTTAAATGGGCTCAAAACAAGTTAAATAAACTGTGTGGCAATATGATTTCACCAAAAATTAGTTGTGATTTTGAATCAATAATATTTAATACGTAATGAATAAAATAATCTTATTAAATAATATTTCAAACAGTTGTGGGCCTAGTCAAATACTGCTCACATTATCAGTAATATTGATAATGTTTCAATCTTTAGATCTCCACAACATTAAGAGTAATTAATCTTGTAAAAGCTGGAAGGCCCAAAAGAAGTTCCTAAAAATTTCTTTCCATTTCTAAAATTTTTTTTTTTATAGCAAAAACGGTGTCTTTTTAGTGGCTGTAGCAAAATAAATGCAACTTTGATGTAACAAATTTTTATTTTATTACATAATAAATTATCAGTACATCAATACCTACATAAACAAAGTTTTTATATATAATTGACACTACATAAATATATTCATTTCGGTATCCTCAGCCTAATTATTATGTAATAATTTAAAGACATATTGATTATATAGTTTAATATAAGTATATAAGATCAGTTTGAGGAAGAAGTGATATTGCATTTATTGTTCCATTTTTTCTTCTGTTTTTTCAGACTTCTTATCCTTTTCATTAGTCACCGCTGGCGTCTTTGTTTGAACAATTGGGATAGTTCTGCCTTCTATTTCTGGTGTTGGCTATAAGGAAAAAGATATATAATTAGAGAAATATAATTAGAAATTATCATAAATATATGAGTTGAAATAAAAAGGTTAAATAATATTGAATACAAAACTAAAATAATACTATTTACCTTCTTCTTGGCTTTGAGGGTAAGCACACCATCAGTTGACAAGTTGGATTCAATTGCACTTTGATCTACATCCTGAGGAATCTTGTAACGGCGGGTAAACTGACGAGTGATGAAACCGTGTTCATCGGATCTCTCTTCATGTTTTCCTTCAATTACTAGATAGTCATCAACTACTTTCACTTTAAGTTCATCTGGCTTGAACTGCTGAACATCCAAGTTGATTTTGAACTCTGACTTATCGGATGAGATAGTAGAAATTCCAGAATCACCTAAAGCCATGCTTCTCCATGGTCGCAAATAACCACAACGCATCGGAGATACCTGAAATTCATAGCAAAAGTTGAAAATATTTATATTAACCTTGTCTATATTTGGTTAAATGAAATTGAATCTCTAGGTATTGAACATATTTCTGGAAAAAGATTTTTTTCACAAGAATTTTCAAATGTTTAATAAGTTGTTGGACTGGCGATAATTAAAGGAGTAAAAATTTCAGTAGGGTGAGTAATTTTTTTCATTTTGTTCAGAAAGTGAATATCTTGAAACTGTACTTTAATGATGGGTGTATATCATAAATAATATGTATATACTTTAGTAGTATATGTATATCAAACACATATTCTTAAAATAGAGTTAGGAAACATTCCATTCCTGGACAAAAACAAAATTGACATACTCCACTATCATTCCAACGCCCTCAATTGAATAATATATTTAAATTTTACCAAAAGGTAAATTTATTTAGGGTAGCACAATGTGTATGTGGAGGATTTAGTTGGATCTGACCTTAATTTGGGCTTTGATTATTACAGGCTGGCAATGATTGTTGGGAATATTAGCTTCACACAATTTGGCTTCATTAAGCCTTAGTAGCAGTATTATTATTCACACTGACTTATTTGCCTTATGGTCAATTTAAATTAATCAAATTATACCTTCATTGTAATTTATTGAACGTTTCAGGGTATTGAAGATATTGCAATAATAAGCAATATTTTACTCCCCCAAGAAATTAAGTGTCACAATAATTCAATATATATATATATATATAATATATATATATATATATATATATATATATATATATATATATATATAATAAGATTGATTCAATGATTAATATACAACTCTTTGTAGTTTATTCAATTTCTTTGGGGAAGAAAATATTAATGAGGGGGACGAAAATTCCACAAAATGTTCAAAAAATTGCAAATTAAAGACTAATTGGATTAATTTAAACTGACCATAAGGCAAATAAATCAGTGTAAAAAGAATAAAGGTTAATCACGAATAATGGAAAAATGATTATTATTTATTAAATTAAGTTATTCAAATATTTATTAAATGAAAAGAATTATTAATTAAAAAGAAAGGCTCATAACTGAAAAAAATTGTATAAACTGTGTAGTTTTACTCACCAAGAGCTGGTTCAATGGACGAAGCGCCTCATCGTTAAGAAGTCCAAGGCCAAAATGCTGGTCATAGAGGGAACGGTTAGACCTGTCCTCCATCATTTCACTTACCAACGGCCACAACAGAGACATCTGTTAAGCAGAAAAGAGAAATTTTATAATAGGAATAATTGAAAATAAAAAATAAAAAACCTAGTGTTTCATAACTAAAAATATTGTGTTAGCTTAGTAGCTAAAAAAAATTTGTTGTAAATATATCACTTGAACTATTGAACGTATTGAACTATAAAGATATGCTAGCAATAAGAAAGCTTCCGCATTCCTTTCTTTCTTTTTTTTTTTTTTTTTCTTATTAGATTTTGGAATTCACATTATATTTTAATAACTATAGTTACAGCAAATTATTAATATTTTCTGATCAACAAATTTTTTTTTTTAACATTAATTTAAGAAATTAAAAGATAAATAAACATATTCCAATAAAATATATTTTAAAAGTCAATATAAAACTATGACAAATTATTTAAATGATAAATGTATTTGTTAATTAAAAAATATTTGATTACGATTTTCTGAAAATGGAGGAAGTTTTTACAAATTGATAATTAGTTTTAAAACACTTTATTCAGAAATATTACAATTTGTCAAAGTTAAGGACACTTATAATAGAGTTCAGAGATTGCATTCATACCGTATATACAAAAATATAAATAAATAAAGTAATAATAAAAGAATAAGAAGAAAGAACAAAAGAGTAAAGAAAAAAAAAATATATATATATATATACACATAAGTAAATAAAAATAGAAATAAAAGTAAAACAAACACCTTATATAAAACATACATTATTTACAATTTGCCAGGTGATCTCCGAACCAATCCTGTCCCCTCCACATGTGGAGGGAAAAGGGAGGCTTAGGAGATCCCTACGCTTCTCCCTCAGCCACTTCACTGGTATTTAAAACCAGCGGAGGATGAGTAAGAGCACTACAGCCACAGACACTCATGACTTGAGTGGAGAATCTGGCCATTGCTAGAACTCCAAAATATCCATATTTACAAAAGGTCTCGTGGCCACTGCCGCTTTAACCTACGAAGGGGATTGTAGGGATGGGTGGTGCTTGATAGGGATTGTACAACGGGATTTGGGTGATGAGAAAGGTTCTGGTGAAATTTGGAAAATTTGGCTGGGATAAGATCAAGAATAAATGGGATATTAAGGTCATGGTGTAGGGTTTTATTGGTTACATAGAAGGGAGCATTGACTATTGTACGGAGGACTTTAGACTGAAAGGATTGAATGCGTTTGATGTTAGAAAATTTGGCTGTTCCCCATAGTTCTAGTCCGTAAGTCCAGATGGGTTTCAGTATTGTCTTGTAGATCAGTAATTTGTTTTCACCAGAAAGTTTAGATTTTCTATTCAGTAGTCTATATAGCTGGCCATATCGTCTGTTAAGTTCCTGTCTTTTAAGTCGAGTGCAAATTGATAATAATGTTCTGCATATTCAAGATATACAACAGTAACTAAATACATTTTGTAGGTTATAAATTTTGTACATTGAGAAGGCTACTTTAATGGGGAGAACATGTTCTTTAGGCTTTGGTATTAGTTAGTTACTTGTTTTAATGATTTATTAATAAGGAAGGAATTATTATTTTTCAGACATTGTAATTACGTTTAGTCTTGAAGATTTTAAAATATATATATTTATAACAGACTGAATGATAATAAAACTATTTATTTTTTTCTGGGTAATAATGGTTTTATATCGTAGCAATGTATTAAAATATGTTTGTAAAAAAGGTATGATAATTTTTTTTATTACTTTAAATAAGTAATGCAATAAATAATATTGTATTAATTTTATGATTTTTTGTTGTTGTTGTTTAAGATACAATAATCTTTTTTATTATTTGTTTGATATGCAATAAAAAAACTATATGCCTATATTATTGATTATGCCTATGTTATCAATTCAAGTTAACTATTTTGCTTTAAATATTTTCATGTTTTACACGATGCTTTTCTTTACTTACTGAATTTTTAAGGTTAAGGCATGGATCACAAATAGCTTGAATGAGCTAGATTTCATTGCTTTTACAAACTTCATTATTTATAGATCTCATTACTTGAGGATTGATCTGTTTATCCCTTCCCTATTCCGGCTACAGCGGAGTAAATATACATTAAGGATACCGAATCCATTTTCATAAAAATTTAGAATTTATTTTAGCTGTTACGTATTGAATTTCACATCTTTTAATGTTAATGTTATTAAATAATATCGGTTAAGAATTTCTCTGGGTAGGAATAGAACAAAAATTTATTATGAAAAATCTTTAGCAGCTTCATAAAATAAATTTTCATTTGAAAACAAAAAATGTTGCCAGTGTATTGGATTTTTTTTTGTTATTTATTAGGAACGAGAAATTTTATTGATATTTTGTTAAAAAAATAAGAATTCCTGCAAAACTTTCGTTCATCACTCTTGGCATGTGAGGAGAGGCATTTGTTTTCAAAACTGTTTATAAAAATTCTTTAAATTTTATTTTTACTAGTTTTTAATAACCTGTTTCAGGAATTAGTTCTTCCTAAAAAAAAGAAAAAAGAAAAACCGACAATTTTTGGCGACCAATTAATTTACTAAAAACGTCGTTTTATTCTTTTTACACTGATTTATTTGCCTTATGGTCAGTTTAAATTAATCCAATTAGTCTTTAATTTGCAATTTTTTGAACATTTTGTGGAATTTTCGTCCCCCTCATTAATATTTTCTTCCCCAAAGAAATTGAATAAACTACAAAGAGTTGTATATTAATCATTGAATCAATCTTATTATATATATATATATATATATATAATATATATATATATATATATATATATATATATATATATTGAATTATTGTGACACTTAATTTCTTGGGGGAGTAAAATATTGCTTATTATTGCAATATCTTCAATACCCTGAAACGTTCAATAAATTACAATGAAGGTATAATTTGATTAATTTAAATTGACCATAAGGCAAATAAGTCAGTGTGAATAATAATACTGCTACTAAGGCTTAATGAAGCCAAATTGTGTGAAGCTAATATTCCCAACAATCATTGCCAGCCTGTAATAATCAAAGCCCAAATTAAGGTCAGATCCACACTAAATCCTCCACATACACATTGTGCTACCCTAAATAAATTTACCTTTTGGTAAAATTTAAATATATTATTCAATTGAGGGCGTTGGAATGATAGTGGAGTATGTCAATTTTGTTTTTGTCCAGGAATGGAATGTTTCCTAACTCTATTTTAAGAATATGTGTTTGATATACATATACTACTAAAGTATATACATATTATTTATGATATACACCCATCATTAAAGTACAGTTTCAAGATATTCACTTTCTGAACAAAATGAAAAAAATTACTCACCCTACTGAAATTTTTACTCCTTTAATTATCGCCAGTCCAACAACTTATTAAACATTTGAAAATTCTTGTGAAAAAAATCTTTTTCCAGAAATATGTTCAATACCTAGAGATTCAATTTCATTTAACCAAATATAGACAAGGTTAATATAAATATTTTCAACTTTTGCTATGAATTTCAGGTATCTCCGATGCGTTGTGGTTATTTGCGGCCATGGAGAAGCATGGCTTTAGGTGATTCTGGAATTTCTACTATCTCATCCGATAAGTCAGAGTTCAAAATCAACTTGGATGTTCAGCAGTTCAAGCCAGATGAACTTAAAGTGAAAGTAGTTGATGACTATCTAGTAATTGAAGGAAAACATGAAGAGAGATCCGATGAACACGGTTTCATCACTCGTCAGTTTACCCGCCGTTACAAGATTCCTCAGGATGTAGATCAAAGTGCAATTGAATCCAACTTGTCAACTGATGGTGTGCTTACCCTCAAAGCCAAGAAGAAGGTAAATAGTATTATTTTAGTTTTGTATTCAATATTATTTAACCTTTTTATTTCAACTCATATATTTATGATAATTTCTAATTATATTTCTCTAATTATATATCTTTTTCCTTATAGCCAACACCAGAAATAGAAGGCAGAACTATCCCAATTGTTCAAACAAAGACGCCAGCGGTGACTAATGAAAAGGATAAGAAGTCTGAAAAAACAGAAGAAAAAATGGAACAATAAATGCAATATCACTTCTTCCTCAAACTGATCTTATATACTTATATTAAACTATATAATCAATATGTCTTTAAATTATTACATAATAATTAGGCTGAGGATACCGAAATGAATATATTTATGTAGTGTCAATTATATATAAAAACTTTGTTTATGTAGGTATTGATGTACTGATAATTTATTATGTAATAAAATAAAAATTTGTTACATCAAAGTTGCATTTATTTTGCTACAGCCACTAAAAAGACACCATTTTTGCCATAAAAAAAAAAACATTTTAGAAATTTTTAGGAACTTCTTTTGGGCCTTCCAGCTTTTACAAGATTAATTACTCTTAATGTTGTGGAGATCTAAAGATTGAAACATTATCAATATTACTGATAATGTGAGCAGTATTTGACTAGGCCCACAACTGTTTGAAATATTATTTAATAAGATTATTTTATTCATTACGTATTAAATATTATTGATTCAAAATCACAACTAATTTTTGGTGAAATCATATTGCCACACAGTTTATTTAACTTGTTTTGAGCCCATTTAAAAATTAAAAACATATTATTCGATACTAAAAATGTTATTTTGTATGATGGGAGGTAGCCAAACTGTATAATACTGATTTCTCACACTGAGGAGCAAACCTGGTTCTGTTAATGGTTTGGCACAAGAAGTTTCCTTTTCTCAAAGATGACAACCTTCCTCTGCCAGGACCTAGGGTTTCCCATATTGCGGCATACCACTTTACTTCACTCTGCCCTGTCACTTTTACAGTAACTTCTAGTCACAGTGCAGTAAAGGAAATATTTTATTAATTTTTTTTCTTTAGTAAGTTTTGAGAATATAACTACATAATTAAAACGATTAATAACAATTACACTATAAAACGGTTGTTATGGGATAGTAATTTTGCTGCGTACATCAGACATGCAGAGCTGTAAATACTCTTTCATCTTAGAAGAAGAATTTGATTAT